GTGGAATAAACAAAAGGTGTAAGGCGTTTCAATTAGACTCACCGTATGTTTTTGTCACCCTAATTATACCGCTCCTCATAAACTGTTACCGATTGTGTCAAAAGGAAGGTGACACTGAAGTGTGTAGAAAAACAGCATAGAGTATTCGGTGTTTTTCGTTCAGAAAACTGCCCAAATTGCTTGAAAATATAGAGGATGTGAGCGACAAAAGAGCTCAAATGACCCGGCAGGTTGCTGGTATGTCATATTGAAACCGAAAATTTTGTTTTCATTGTAATACCAAACAAAACCTATCCACGAATTTCGCATAATCACCGTGCGATTAGTGGCAAACGCCTTGGCGTAGTGCATGACCCTCTTCGCTGAAGCTGCTTCAACTCAATATCAAACCATGGAGAATCAACCAAACTTTTCTCTAGTCAGGATTCCTTTGGCAAAATCCTAAAATGTTCTTGCAACTGTTTTTGAACGCGCCAGCTATTGGCAAGTCACTCATTACGTAAATGAAATATCGTGTTCTAACAACGTGCGCTTTGCATTGTTCTGTGATATTTTCTTTTCCCACTGGAATCTTCCTCTGGTGTAATAATTTAGCTTATTCAGTTTGCACACTTCAGTCTGTGGGCTTTTGGCTGGTAACCCACAGTTAAATGTGTTGATTTTACTTATTTAAATAAATAATGAGAAATCTGGACGAGGCCGTTTTTTCCAAACTATTCTCGAACGTCTGGACTCTCCCTATGAGGTGGAATAAAGTAGCTGATCCAAACGTTGTTCGATTGGAAGCGGGTATTCAGCGCCTGGGTGAAAAAAGTACTCTAGTGTTAACGTCAGATGAACCGCACAATGTGCTGACCCGTTCGCGTGGAACGATAGGTATCATTATTAGTTAACTGGACTTTGAATGATTCGGTTGAGGTGCAGCGCTGTCGATTCCTAACACGGATGAACTGACTGCACACGCATTTAGAGCCTACTCAATGCTAAGGAAGATGTGTGCAACACAGACTTCAAATGAAGCGGTCGATCCTAAGCATTTCATACTTACTTTCTGTGTTTCGAGTTCAGTGCCTTTGATAAAGACACAATTGTTAATGAGCATTACCACTGTAACTAAGTATTCATTCAAACCAATTTTTTTATGATAAATTTTGATACACTAGTTAACGGCACACTCCCAGTGGAGTAATTGCTATTGCACTTTGACCGTTTAGTGCGACAGTAGTCTTGCTAGTTTTCGGAAAACGCACAAGGTGCGTCATAGAAATGACCTTTGTACACATGGAACGTTTCAATACAGTTCATCCTTAGACGGAAAATGAAGAAGCGCATCGACTGAAATAGCAGACCGGGTACGATTGAGAATACTAGACTAATTTGGTTTGTTCTCACAATCTTTGACGTTGCTGGATTTTCAAATTAGCCTTTCGCTTCAGTTGGAACAATTTAATAAAGATCACCTCTGTTGAGATGCATTTTCCCTTCGTTAAAACGAAACTCAGAGATATATTATTTCAGAGTTTCAAATGAATTCCTAATTCAAACATTATAAATGTCAGCATTTTGGGTGGTCATATCGGATCAGTTGGATTAGGTTATTTATTTCACGTGTTGTTTTACTTGAAACAACCGTTAGATAAAAATTTGAATCTCCCATATACAGATGTGCTCAAACTAAACAAGCTAACTGCTCACACGTGTGGCTTATTTCAGTGTGACGAGAAAGCATCAGATACATAAAATTCATAACAGTTAGTGTATTGTAACTCAAAATAGCTTGAATGAAACGAGGTGGGTTGAGATTCACTGGTGGGTTCAGCAAACCTTGTTTTTCTAACATGAAGAAACTGATAACACAAACGCCCAAGTCTATCCATTGTATCCATTGATAACGATGAGCTAATTGTGAACCTGTGACAAATAACTTTCAAATTAGGATACGGATTTTTCGCGGACAATTCCTAATGATTATTTTTAATCAAGCAAAAATACTTCATTTGACCAATAACATATTCCCCATCAGTTCATATCTAAAAACGCATCAGAAGAAACTTATGCGTTTAAATTACAGACCATGTAACGACGACTAACCGTAGAGGTTAGGGTAATGTTCGAATTGGAGCGTTTTATGAATCATCTTAGATGTGACATGTTTGCCTTCCTTTTAAAAAAGAACTTGAACCCAACTATCTCGTCGTTTTCAAACATGAATTGTCCTTTTTCATTCCATTTATCATTACATTATATTTCGTGCCAATCATAGTAGAAGAGTCTTCGGACCAAATTGGATGCATTTTCATTGGATATTCAAAACATGAAAATTGGGTTGGTCAAACCGTGACGCTCAAGGTAGTGGAGTAGTGCGCAAAGATTTCCTCAACAACTGCTTGACGCGTACAGTGAAGCGGACCTGCAAAGCTCCATTATCCAATGTGTGTCTTCACAGGCTCACCCATCATCTGAACGAGCCACAAAGACAGACTGTCTACGCTGACTACTTCTATGGTTATTTACTCCTTCCGGTGCGCCTGTAATGCAGCGCACACTGATTGCTCGGCGAGGCAACCATCCCAATGAATGAAGGAACACTGCCCACAATGGTTGAAACAGGGAGGCACGGAGAGAATAGGAAGCACCATTTTTGGTCAACTAGTGGCCGTAAAATAAACCATAATTCGCGTTCAGCGTCCTCTATCGTGTGCCTTCCAACCTCTCTAAGGCAGTGCGCTTTCATACATTAGCCACCGCTAAGGCACCAAAACTACGCGCACAAAAGCGGCTGGTTCAAGCTCTCCACTTACTCCGGCCACAATTCGATCATCAATATCACCACCACCAACAATATCGGTCTCGCTCTAATACAGACACATATGGCTCACCCAACCACTCCTCTACCTATCTCGAATGATCATTCGGCCCAGCGTGAAAATGTGTCCTCACTATCAATAAATCCTTATATGATTTGTACAGGCAGGATTATGAAACATTCGAAAACATGTGTTCGCCTTCAAAATCTGTAGATCTAATTTCTAATTCATGGGATCAAGCAATCTTTGGACGAGGTCGGTAATTATTCAAGCCGGTCAGCAATGCCACAATCAAAAAGGTATGGGTATGGTTCACCAACCGTCACTTGGCTGGTTTAGAATCAAGTTTAAGAGAGATTATCCAGCTTCCTTCTCGATACGCACCATTGTTCGGGCCTAAATCTCTTCAAATCTGCGCCGAGTTGTCTTTCACCTTACATCGAGGCTCAACGATGGCTAAAACACCGAATCGTGGGTTTTGGTTTTCTTTCATGGAAAGAGGTTAGTATATGAATTTTGTGTGGATAATGTAGCATAGCACTCACTGAACCCAGTAATCCGTAGATTCGATTTATAAAAAGGGAAAGTTGGAGAACCATATACAGCGAAATAAAATGTTTCCCAGAATTACAGGTAAAGGTAAAACTAAGTTAGGGCTGAGCGCGAGCGGAAATGTATTAAAAACTATGATGTTAGGTGTTACAATAGTTCCTATTTAGACAAATTTAGGAGTAAATCTCAGTTGTTGCACCACCTACGGGTTTTAGTGAACGTCTGACTTTTTTTTATCTCAAATTCATTGAGGAAAGTAATGCAGCAGATCGTTCCTAATTACTCAGAATAGCAACAGACCAAATCAAAGGAGAAAACTATCATTAAATTCCGTTCACCTCTACATTGCATCATTTCATCTGCAAACGTGGAGAGTTCGGTATTAAATTACCTTCTTTTCATTACACCATACGGTGTTGAGAGGAAAGTATATTGATTACCAGAAAGCAGCGAATTTCCTGTCTTTTAATCTTCAGGCCTTTGCGAATTACACTAGCCAAACCCACTGTACAACAGCTTTTCACAATTGGCTTGGGATCAGATATGTAGAGGATCCCACCTGGAGTTTCCCTCCAATCCGAACTTCTGAATATAGTTGTTACGGGGTTATGGGGAACATTTACGCTCAGGTGCACAAAACCGACGAGAATCGGATGACAGTAACTTTCACGCGGGACCTTTGAATTCGGCCGTGAAGTCCATTATATCGTCGGATTCTGAATTACATAATCATTTTTCACTGGTACTATATCTGCGATAGAAGTCCTTCTGTATCAGACAGCGAAGAATCTACAGAAATAGAAGGAAAGCATTGAGCGGAATGGTAGACTGCATTAAGCAAACGCTCAGTCTCAGACAGCTACATTCCAGCAGTCAGCATTGGAAATGTGCTCCCCCTGCTTAGATATAAGACAGAAATGAAAGATTTGATAAGGAGATATGAATATTCAAAAAATGGGGACTTACTGTTTCAGGACAAATGGTTCCACAACGAAATCGAAGACAACGATGTCAAAATCGACAATTTTTTAGCTACAAGTTGAACGACCCGTTCTAGTTCACTAATGAGGCATCGGTATCATCATATACATAAATGATGATTAACGAAAAACGAGTTTTCTTGTATTCTACTATACGTATCAGTAGTTCGCATGACAAATGTAAACCAAAACAACTCAGCGGATACCGAACTATAACTTTTGTGCAGTTTAAATTTCTCCTTTTTGTTTCATTTCATCATCATCATCATCATCATCATCATCATCATCATCATCATCATCATCATCATCATCTTCATCATCATCATCATCATCATCATCATCATCATCATCATCATCATCATCATCATAATCCCATCATCATCATCATCATCATCATCATCATCATCATCATCATCATCATCATCTTCATCATAATTTAATCCGGATCATCATCATCAGCATCATCATCATCATCATCATCATCATTATCATTACGAATCATCATCATCATCATCGTCGTCATCATCATCATCATCCGAATCATGATCATCATTCAAATCATCATCATCATCATCATCCTCCTCCTCCTCCTCCTACTCCTCCTCCTCCTCCTCCATCATCATTGCCATTATCATCGTCATCATCATCATCTTCATCATCATCATGCCATCATCAACATCATCGTCATCTTCCGAATCATTATCATCATCATCATGATCATCATCCGATCATCATCATCATCATCATCATCATCATCCGAGTCATCATCCGAATCCTCATCATCATCTACAATCATCATCATCATCATCATCATCATCATCATCATCATCATCATCATCATCATCGCATCATCATCATCATCATCATCATCATCATCATCATCATCATCATCATCATCATCGTCATACAACCGCATCGCAAATATCATAGGCGTAAGAGGCTTTAGGTGAATATACTACACCGGTTTCATTCAAAAATGATGTAAGATGTCACAGTTTCAATTAAAGATGTCACAATAATAATTAAAGATGTCACAACATTAATTTCAGTTGTCATGACGCTATGTTAGTAGTACGATAGTGCGGTTACCCCATCGTTTCACATTGCCTTGTAGCTTTGTGATGACCTCGTTTTCACGTATAGTCCATCCTTTTGGTGAATGCACGTCTGATATACAAACGAAATTCACTTTACCTCCTAAAAACTCGCGGTTGTAGACAAAATGTGGTTTCTTGCTCGAGTTAGCTGGACAAGCGCTAGGTCCCGTGTTGCGGCTGAACTATCCGACCGATCGATAAATAAACCCGCTCGGTCCTGTAATTTTCGGGCCAGCATAGGGGAAGAATAAGTTTTGAATCTGATGCTGCTTAAGCGTTGGTAGAGAATCACCACAGGAGAATAAGTTTTGGAACGGTGCGACATGTGACAAATTTGGAATGGAAAAAGTTCAAGTGATGATAATGCTAGACCAACGTTTGACCCGTCTTAGATACACGCATTGATTTTTTAAGCGGTTTTGGTAAACTGATAATCATAATAAAACCTTGAACTTGTCTTAATTACGGACTACAATATCCACTAATGTAGGTCAACGCAAAACTCTTCTTTTGGAATTTTACCACCTGGCTTTTCTCGCGTTGAACGATCTTGCAAACCACTTCAGAGATAGAATTTTAAGGAGTTTTCTTCCACATTCAGAATAATAACAGTTACAATACTGGAGTACCGTTTTAGCTCCTTGGTCGTTCTCGTTTTTCGGGAATAAACTACCAAGCTCAAACCTCATTTTCGTCGGGTTTAACTGCTTTTGGTTTTCTGTATTGTCCTATGATGATGAAACCAGCAGTGCAGATCTAGAGGTTTGGCAGGCCAGTATGTGTAGAACTGTTATGAAAAGTTGGAAAAATTACAAGTGGTGATACCTTAGTTCCGGACATTATCGTCCAGAACGAAGACTTTTGTGTCTGTTCTATTGACGGTATGCTATCTGTGTCCCTGATGAAGTAGAATCGATCAATTAATTTTCACCTTGTATTTTGCATGAAAAGCAATTCACATGTCTTGTCTTTTCGTGCAATAACGATTTACCCGACGATGACGAAGCACCTTTGATGTGAATAAACGCTTCAGCTTTATGTCTTTGGGCAACCCGTTAGGACTTCCATCGTACCACAGACCTCAAACGAAAATGGACTGCTCGCTTTTCGTCAGGAACACTAGATTGAAACCATTCGATAAACTCTCTGCTCGTGGGAGCATAGACTACTTGCTGAGAGCTCAGAATTAAACCAGCCAAAATTCTACACCCTTCAGTCTGGACCTACTTCTGCTCAACATTAATTTAGTTTATTTAATACGAGTGACCGTATTGTAGCTTTCTGGGTCAGCCGGTTCCACAACGAGAACATCTAATCGATAAAATGGATTGCTCCTAGTTGCACACGGGATCAAAAGAACATACCATCAACCTTATTGTTAGTAAGGTTGAAAATCCTAAGCATTCCTATCATGTCTTCTCTCATCTGTCTTCCGTTTAATGAGGGGAAAATTCGATTCAAGATTTTCTACTCATGACTGTTATTTGTTTTTCAGCCGTCATCATTCTGTTTATGAGTTGGTCTCGTTGTGAACGTTCCGCATTGTTTATGTAACGTGCAACTGTTTAACGGTTGATTGAACACCTTGTAGTTAAGGGTGCTCTATCTTTCGCACCCCCTATACCAATAGGCTTCTCCTTATCTCCTGATCAGTTCTGGTGGTTAGTAATTGATGTTTGCATGAGGCCTGTGGTACGTTCGGTTGGAGGGCCCACCGTTTAACTGCATGCACATCTCCACAAATCCATTCAGCAATTTGTCAATCGTGAGCAAACCAACGTTGGTTTTAGATTTTTTGCTAATTCATTGTTATGCAACAAGAATAAAGAATACAGAAATACAAATGCTGATCCGCTTATGATCACATTCTTCTCGGAATTGCTTATTTCTCTTTTGAAGTGAAAAGAACATTGAGTAAGGAATTCAGTTATGCAATCACTAAATTAACCACGTATGCTCAAAGACTGCATTTTGTAGTTGAACAGACGATGGTAGTCTGTTGCTCTACTCCGAATCTTTCGCGGGACCTTATCATCTACCTATTTTTAGTTTAAAATGAACCTCAGAATGGATCTTTCACCGAAGTTTATCTCACAGCCCAGGACTGCACTCACATATCAAGGAGTGCAATAATATGCGATCTAACGATCGGAGATTTGTAGCCGGTATTCAGACATTCTTCACTGGCATTTGGGAATTGCGACTACAGCTGTCCGTGGACCTGCATTCACACATGTTCATGTCATCATCTGTCTCGTAGTGGTCAACCCTCTACTGTAGGCGCAAAGCTACAAAGAAGAATACTTTGACGTTTCGAAGGAGTCAATTTGCGAATTCATTACGTCTATTCAGAACGCATACTAAGAGAAGTGTTGAGCAGCTTTGGTCTGCATATACGACGAGTGGTACCAATATCTTGAGTGATCTACCGTCCATAAGTAAAGCTTGATTAGGCTAAGTTAGTGTCACCGGAGTGGAACACAATATGGTAGTATCAAACGAAAACGATCAACCCAAGATAAAGCTTTCAATAAAATATGAAACAATATATTTGTTTGAAAATTGAAGACAGTTACATAAATGGACTGTGTGCATCTGTTTTGCAAGTTGACCAGGGTCCTGGCATGGTGCGATCAACTATATGGTCTGTTGCAGTGTGAGTTGGTTTGCATGGTATAGATATGATTGGGTAAAAATACCGGAAGCTGTCGAATGAATAATTGAAACAGCTGCTAAAACCAGACAAAAAAGAATATGTATGATAGCCAAGCTGCACTGAACAGATCCTACATTGCAGAACGTTCTGATTCTCGGGATTACATATCCACAATCCGTACAGGCAAAAGTCCACATTATACCGAAAAATAGGAAGCCTAGTAAGTGTACCTCAAAGAACGCTTTTATCTCTCAACTGGCATATGTTCTACGTGTGAACTCTCCCCCTTCGAAAGCTTCACCCACTTTTGTTTGGACTCTGTCCAAATAAGCATTATACTCTTCATTGTAATGCACGATCGCCTTTAAGCCTTTAGGTGACCTTTGATGCCAGGGGTTCCATCAAATGAAGTATAAATATACATCGTCACATTCAAGTAATTCAATTCAAACTAACAACGTAAAACAAAATGAGTCCAATCTACTTGGTTTTCGCTACTCTTCTTGCCACAACATTGGCGGTACCAAATTATGTACGTTCGGAAAAGAACGCCTACAGTGGTACTATCGCTAATAATGCGTTTTTGACAAATGTGAAATAAACAGCCATTGCATGTTTCAATAGTTATTTTAGATGCGCTTTAAGTAAATATCGTTGCATAAATGAATATATAACTTCCCTATGGTTTTGATTTTTCAGGCACCTGAGGACAACAGTAAGTGACGTATAACTTAATTGCTCTGTTTTTTGTAAGCTGTATGAAGCTGAAGGTTTGTTGTTCATGATGATGATGCTTTTGTTATTCGATTGTGGAATGCTATTGCAATCAGATTCATTTGGAGTGTTGATAAATCTGTTAGTTTATCCCACCACATGATGTATGTATGTGTCAATAATACGCAACCGCTGGTTTGCCAGCATTATTTTTTTGCTATTCACGTAAACCAATATTATCGCAAACAATATGAGTACGGTTTATTAAACCAGATATCCGCGGAAATCTCCAACACGAAATAAGAATAAGATCTCCATTTTGGAAGTTTTCTTTGAGTAGTTGGGCTGTTCACTTTTTTAATTTGGGGTAACAATGCCGTTCAGTTTTATTACGGTTTGAAAAACGTGTCTTATAAATCTCAAAGAAGCCATTATTTCACGAATAATCTTCCGGAATAAAATCAGTTTCTTCTTTGACACGCCATGAGTAAAATCAATTGTACGTTTTTTCATGTTTAAGTTATTTAATTCTCATCAGGATTAAGAGGAGATTAAAAATACACACTGCGGAGTGCACAGCGCATGGAGAACAGTAACTAAGTAAAGTCTCAACGCTAATCTTTGCTTTCTTTTCAGCTGATTACTGTCAGCTATGCACGCTAACAATGGATCAGTTGAAGGAATGGATCCAGAAACCATCTATGAAAACACTGTACGAGAAAGCAGTTGATGCTGCTTGCAAACATACTGGAGCGATGTATAGCATGGTAAGTTTTAGTGCTGACCAGGCAAAACTGATTATGAAGTTCATTTCAATCACTGAGTGTTATCCAGTTGGAAGCCATTGAAAATCGAATAGCTATTGATCTCTTATTCTTACGTTTTTTTACCACAGTGCAAAGAAACCATAATGTACGGAATTCAAGTGGCGATCGAGTTTGTGGAAAAAGAAGACTCGACGGCTGCATGTCGTGTAAGTCTCCTTCACACTTTAATATCAATGGAAATACTTATGTGCGGTTGTTCAGCAATTCGCGATTAGAAAACATTAGATGCTGCGTTCTGGTAGTCCGATATACCTATCACGTTGCAGCATCTATTTGAGGTATATGGAGAAAACGTGCTGTACCATCTGCATGCGGTAGTTCGACTGCTCCTTCCAAAATTTCAAAAAATGCTTTAGTATCCTTGAAAAGAAAACCGCTTTTTAATGGGCATCATCGGCCATGCATTATTGGGCACTTCGTCAGATAAAATATCACATGGTTAATCCAATTAGGTTATGTGAACCGATATTATGAAACTGATTCTAAGTTCACCTAAGATTAGTTACCAGACTGACAATCGATTGAGCACTCCAGTCATACCATTAAATATAAAATAAACTCCCTCTGTACTTTTCAGTATTTAGGAAAACCGAATACACAAATTCAGATTATGGCACTGAAAGAAACTTTCCCTCAGTTGTGCTTTATCCCAAGACCGATTTGGTATTGTGAAAGAGTTTAAAGTATCACAAATTCGTCCGCTGGCAAGGAACTGAAGCATAACTTCAATATTTTGAAAATTGCAGAGTCCAAACAACTCAATATGTTAATGTATTTATTATAGTTATGATCCTAGTCATAGATATCTGTTGCAGTATACTTGAATGCGTTGTTTTCGAATTGGGTTGTATGCATGTGAACTGAGTATGCGGTGAACTGATAAATCAATTTTGAATTGCGCTGCGGAAAAACTGATGGCGACTTCTTTTACAATCGCAAATGCGTTGTAAAGTATGTGTTGGTAGTATACCTCCTACCACCTCCATTTAGCATGTCGTGACTAATCTGTAATCACCAAATGTGTTCAAATGCCATTTCTCTATTTTCGCCTCTTACCCAAACAGTTACTCAAATTGTGTCCCTGAATGGTGCCAGGTGAGTGTTCTTTCCTAGATTGACCCCAAAAACGCCTGAGTTTTAAACCATCATTCTGTCCACCATCATATATCGATCCTTATTATTTCTTCCCTTATATGAGACCAAATAAAATACATATGTCTTTCAAAGTTAGAATTCCAGCAGATTTCAGTTGATGCATTCATGGTGTATTCAGATAATAAATATTAAAAATCCCATAATTGCGGACGTTTCTCTTTGTTTACTTTTTACAGATGATCCCAAACTTCAACCAACAAACAACAGCAAGTAATCTGAGAAATAGAGTATAAATAAAACTTAACTATGATCAATAATGGAATAATTTTTCGTGAATAACTTGGACGGAGAGGGTGTCAAAATCCGTGTGTGAGGACAGCTCATTTTATTAAAAGCACGCAATTATCACTTAGAATCCGTGAGAAAAAGTGTTAGGCTTATCAAGCTTTTCACACCATGTTTGTGGATCAAACGCCTGAGTTATAGGCAGCATACAATGAAGGAAATTGCGGGTGGTCGCTTTCCCATCAGTCTTTGAAATTCACGTCAGGGATGCACTTTCATACACAAATTCAGCGCTCTCGAGAAAGGTTCGCAAAGTTTCGAGAACATTGAGAAAACGAGTCTGTGAGCGAACAATCATATTCGGATACACCTAGTCATACTGTTACACACCACAAAGTGGAAAACATTCTTACATAATGACAGCCATTGGCTCAATTTAAGATCATCAATCGGAGTAGAGGGTGTGTTTGTAAGGATGTTTAGCGTGTTAGTTGATGTGACCTTTCCCCACTGGGGTCAAGTGACACGTCATGTTCTGTCTTGGCTTCCACACCCGACCAGGGCAATTGGAGCGCTTGCACCAGTCGCTTTTGTTCACACAGATTGGGGCCTAGTAAGCGAATGGCGGTCGCCTCTCGTCCGAAAACGATTGTTCGCTCACCGACTCGTTTTCTCAATTCTATCATGGGGATATTCGAACTTCCGAGAAAATATGAAACTGATGCGTTTACCTTTTATATTCCAATCACTTTTCATTCCTCTATTCTGTCCACTTTTGTCCTATCAACTGTTTCTACTCCTGAATGTGACAGTATCCTCTGAACACTTCCACACTAACGAGAAACCGGTTTGACTGAACTTGTGCACAAATCCTCTCATTTTCTTCAGTTTCACATGTTCTCGAAAGCACTTTCGTGCGCTGCTTCTCAAGTTTGAAAGTTCCATCCGCTGTTAATATTAACTAAGTATTTAGTTTCATTGCTTAGCAGACTGCGTTTCTTTGGAATACGATTACAATTTCACCCCGCCCCCCCGCAAGAAAAACAATTAGTGCATCACAGTACTACAAAAATCCCTTTCAAAGTCCGCTATGCAGTATTCGTTTTGGAATATGGAAATGATTATTAATTTTCATTTGGACATTTTGTATCTAACATCTATTGGTCGGAGCAATATCGAAACCTTCAAAACTCAGATTGGTACCAGTATCACCAATTCATGGATGATGAAGCGGAACATATGTAAGTACGGCTCACAATCACCTATTAAATTTAACATACATGGGAAGCATAGTTTTCGCGTAACGAATTTGAATAAAGAAGCCAAAAATACAGATTTGCACAATTTTTCGCCGCCTATGGTTCTGTTATTTACTGATCATATATGAATGATCACATAGACTGCAGTATGCACGTGTACAAATTCAGCGAAATGATCCACGATAAATTCCGCAAAATCGTGTTTTTGGCTTCTTTATTCAAGTTTAACAGAGTTTGTTAAAGTTGCATTTCAAAATCATCTTAGTGTGAACCTGTCTGTTGCAGCAGTTTATTTCAAGCGCCGTCAGAAGTGCATGTGTATCGTGTTACACTTGGACAATCCTTGTCAATCTGTGCAAAGAACGACAACTGAAAATAATGCATCTAGAAATTTCATTCATCGCAAATAGCTCATGATGATTGATGGAGTAACCGGTGCTTCCCCATCTCTTTTCTGTTCGGATTAGAGACCCAATCCTTATATTCTGCGTTCGGTGTGTCGCAACTATATTCCAATAATTTTGATCAACAGTTTATAGGTTAAATGTGCTTCAGTGAATCGGCACAGTTCATGAGCTACAATGGTTATAAAATCAGAGTCTGTCGATGAGGATTATGTGTCCAGATGGTTGCAAGTGTAATTGCTTACAGAAAAGAACACAGATTTTTATCGCAACTATTCCCAACTGATTGTGAGTTGAAAGTAGTACTCGGAATAACTGTTAGGTTTGAGAAAAATCCGCAACCAGTTTTTCCGTGCTGCTCGTATATTTCAAAGTTCTAATCCTAAGCCAGAAACTAAACAGATGTCTGTTGACCTCGTTTGATATAATTTTCAATTCACAGATATATTTCATTTTCGAATATTCTGATTGCAGATCCATAGATATGGGTAAATAGCATGTACTTCAAACTTAATTTTGCATTGAACTGTTTTCAAGTTTCTTCTTTCAGGGGGTTCAATTGGTTTGACCATTGATTTCACGATAGATTTTTGAGTGGTTGAAAGGCTACAGCTCAGAACTAGAAAATATGTGATGCAGACTGTTATGGAGGTTCATTTTCGTATAAGGGATTACTGTTTCAAATGGTGAATTCACTATATAAACCATTTTAACTATACCGATAACGAGTCCTCTCATCGGGGACCATTTCAGATGTTAAGGAGCCTCGAACCACTCACATCATCTACCACACTTGTCCACGTAGTATTTTATCTGATGCTTAGAAAAGTCAATTTTTGGAATACGTTTTTGTTCAGCATGAACACATCGATCCGATGAAGCACTTTTCTCGAATGGTGATACAAGTTTAACTCTGATGTATGAAGCCATCACTGAACGCTGATATATGTTAAACATGAATCCTAAAGCGAATTATGGGAGCTACATGCATTCATTACTCACAATGAACTGAACAGCTTGAAGCAAAAGCAATATTTATGACTAACCGCTGAACAAAATATAACAAAGTTTAAATTTCTTTACCCTCATCTCGATGTTTAAAACGGGCCCCTTCTAACTCTATCATTTATGTTTTTCCTTTCCATCAAAATACACATGTCCAACAAGATGGATTATGAAATATTCGGCCGAGAATGACGAATATGTCGTGAAGAGACACGAAATAGTTTGTTCAGTTTTTGTACCTCTTCTGTTAACTTGATAACCCCGATAATAGTTAGTAAATAATACTTTAACATACAAAACGATCATCTCTGGATACTGTTTATTAAATTTTGCTTTTGTAGATAAATATCTGCTCACCACACGTTTCAGGTTTACGACAGCTCCAATGCTCTGATGTGCGGATAACTTTGAGCACGCTCTTATTTGATAGATCAAAAGCGTAGAGTAGCATATGTTTTGCTTTCATCCGTAACGTTTTGCTTGACTTCGGATTCTGAAAAATGACACGTAAAGGAGACAGAAGATTCAAGCTCATATCACGTGCAATCCCTTCACACAAAATTTGAGGAAATAATATGAATCAAGAATTTTTTCCTTGGTATCAATGACGTTGTATGCGTATCGTAATCACCTATTTCCCTCCCAACGCGTGAGCGTTTCAATAGCTAATTTGAGGTTATGAAACAGTATCGAGTAATATTCTACACACAACATGATGAAAAATTGTCCGTTGTTTGAATAGTGTTGATACAATCTTGTCAGTTGCACACAAAAAATGAAATGCTTTTTGGTTGAGCAAAACATGAAATGGAATTATTGAATTCATCACATTATTATGATCAACATTACAGTTGCATGCAGTGATGGCCGTTTACTGAAAATTGCCCCTGCAACTTGCTGTACACAAATCAACTGCACCACACAATGTAATTTAGGTTCGTGAAGAGGAGTGTCCTATGCCATATTGTCACTGCATTGTGTAATCCCTTCGCGTAACTGTATTGTAAATAATATTTTCATGAATTGTCAGCGGCCTCCTTTTGGATAGAAAAATATTTACTGAACTCCAGTGTAAGCTTACATGTGTATTAATGTGGTTAAACAGTGTAGTGATCGACAGAAATAATTAAGCAGCGATTGTGTTTCGGTAAGAACTCTTTTGTAGTGTGTGCACTATTCTGGCGTCTCTGCCGGGATTTGAACCAAGAACTGTCTAATGGGAGTCACAAATACCTTGCACTTCAACTACTCGATCTAAAACGGTTCGCTGTACGATGTATGTTGCGTGCTGTTTTGAACCCCAACAAGCATGAAAACATTCCTCCTCGCAGTAAGGCTTCTTATATGTTCACTTATTTTTTTCATTTTAGTAATTAAAAGAGTTGTGAGTAAAGCTGAATTTTCTCGTCTTACCGTGTTTCATTCAGTCAGGTTCCAAGCACAGTGTCGTTAAGGAATTTGCGATGGATTAAGAGCATACGTACATCGAACTACAGAACACATACAAAGGGACATATGGATGTTACTGAACCAAAATCCCAATGGGAATCAAGTAAAGCAATGAAATTATATTACCGCCACTGCAACCAACACTATCGCTTATGTTCCCAATAATTATTTAATCCGTTCTGCCTGAGTAATGCACAAAATCAGTGAAACGGATATTGTTTGGTGTTAACCTCGAGAGCGTTCAAGACAAAACCGAAGTAACTTACCGGAATTGTCTTTAACTGTGCAAACATTAAGCATCTAATAATGAAAAATGGAATGAAGGCTGAATGTGCACTTATTGTGAAATAAAAATCCAGATTCATGAAAGGCAAGTTACTTGTAAAATTTCACTTCTATATCGAGTAGTTTGTGTACCATTAGATCAATTCATTCAAATTACCTTGGAGAAAAAGGCCTTGCTCAATGTGTATAAATATGTATCTGTTTCAAACTACTACAAATTTTGTTATGACACGCAAAGTCGTGAAAATTCAAACGTTGATACGACAGAGCTCAGAACACAGCAGTGAGAGATAAATTTGGGAGTAAATGACCTCCAGCCATAGCTATCGATGTAGAGGTATTTTATTGGAAACTGAAGTTTATTTCAAAAATGACGATGATGATAATCAAACTCGCAAGCTCCTTGATGTACCTCAGTATAGTTACCCATTTGTTCACCACCTCCTTTGCTCTTATAAATCAGCCTATAAGCTATCTTGATAATATGAGGGCACCAGTATAAAATTGTTCATCTTAGCACTCGTGTATTTAGGTTGTGACTCCATCATAATCTTCCCGAATGCGAGAAAGTGGTGACCCTGATATGATCACTATTGGTGTAAAACCCACTCCTGGCATCTCGCAGTGGAAAATGTTGGTAGCGAGGATAGTTCGCTGTTTTATCTGGTGATAAATTCGGACTTTGACCCATATATTTTACTAAAAAGCTTCCTCACGCATTTTGACTATCCTGATATGCTTCGAGATCCCCAGAATCTTTATCAACATTAGCAAGATGCATATGTTTGCTCTTTCGAAATATTTTGATTCCTCTTTATGCTACACCAGGAATACGAGGAAGTAAAAGATGTATCAAGGCCCTGACAATTGCTAGCTGGTAGCTATTGTGGCACCCGGTTCATTATCCCTGAGAATTGCTTTACTATGGAACGTCGTAGCAGCCAGAAGTTGTAAATGCCCCTTACCTTTTAACATAGTATCATCAATTATTCTTCATTCACTTCTGAATCATCAGGAGGTTGGTTAATTCCAAATTGAATGGTATGACCAAATATCAAACAGACGATGGTCATCAGAATAAGCAGCGATCGGGAGTGCCCAGATTTTGATGAGTCCTATGTTTCTGACAGTTATTTGGGTTACTGGTCAGTTATTGTGTACGTCAGTTTTCTTAGCGTGCGGACGTTGGTAGCCCGGTGGTAACCAAAAATACATTTTCGTCCCAGAGGATGTAGGCTCGAACCCCACCACCAGCGTTTGAAATTCCCCATTACGTGTATGATGACAGGTCTTTGATCGGTGGCTTCCCCCTTCCTGACAATTTTGGCTTTGTACATTTAACAAAATGAAAAAGAAAAGAAAAAAATTATAAATTATCCCTAATCTGTATACAGTTCATATAATCAGAGAAGACACAACCATTCGACGAAGAACATCAGCTGTTAGACGCGTTGATCTCTTCTATGGAAAAACAACGTCCTCATTCTATTTTTATGCAGCACAGATTCAAAACGTCACCGTGGAACTGCCTGTAAGTATGGTAACATTGAAATGTCGATGAGGAATCACAAGAAGAACATCATCGCATTTTCACCACTGAAAATGTTTTCAGCCATGGTCGAGAGTAAAATGTTCACTTACCTCGCATAATCGGGATGGCGTCAGAAAGTTCAAAATTTCATTCATTGCTTTTGTTGCGTGGTTTTCCATGAATGTTTTGCATTGTTGTTTCTACGGATAAACGAAATAAATACACACTGATGTTCTGCAAGTCCTGACAGAATTATCTGAACCCCAAGTGCTGCATGTACATATCCCTCTATCTCTCTCACGGATTGAGTGTTTGCAGGGAGGTGCATTTGACTAAAACTGTCAAAATCAATGTATCCAAAAACTCGGCAAAGCAGTTTAATTGACGGATCTAAAGGATCGCATCAAAAGGTTTTGAAGACTCTTATACTATTTGCGATGACTTTCATAATCATTCAAGATACATTCGTCTACAGTAAATAAAATTTTGGAAACTGCAGAACTGGTGAGAAATCCTTTTGTTATCGGTGATAGCACTGTTTAAATAGATCAGTGATTTAGTGAAACTACTTACCAGAGTTGGAATGTGTTGTAGAAAGTCATGTTCACAAATTATCTTCACACGCTTAAACAGCTTCTCCTGGAATGCCTTTTGTTGAAGTATATTGGAGCTCGATTTCATAAACAGCATACACCCTTTGCATGCATCTGCAAAATGTGAATCGAAATTTTGTAATTTGCATCACGAGGAGTGTCCCATAGTGAATAGTGGTCACTTTCGTAATGTGCAGTACATTCAGGCATGACAAGGTCAGATGTCAAGTTTTGAATGTCGGGAGTTGATCTTCTATGCTTCAGGTGGACTTTATATGACTATTAGTGTAATATTATTGCAATCATCAATTTAGAAGGAGCTAATCATGAGGATACAGTTATATTCAATTAACATCTCATTTTTCCTGAATTCAAATGTTTTCGGATGCGACAATTGACAAGTTCAAAATGCATTCGCGAGCACAAGAGCCGGAAAGGACAACATTGATTCCACTTTTTTATCATTAGGCTGCGGCTGTTGGGTTCACTGCTCATATAGACAGCCTTCCAACGTTTTCATCATTATCGTTTTAACCGTTTATTTGCTCCAAGTATGACAACAACAATAGCATTTGAGTTGGACATCTTCAGTAAAAGTAAATAAATATTCTGTAAAAGGCTTCAAACTAGTCAGACGATACACTCAGCTGGCTAGCTAGTAGTTTATTCAGTAAAATGTCTTCATCTTCTATCTTGTTTTTATCCATGCCACATCAATGCTGACTATCTGTCTACTTTGTGAGAATCTGTTTTATTGGTAAACACAATGAATCAGAGACTTTCTTTTGATCAATAACAAAAGAAAATGGCATACGCTACAACGGACTAGAACTGCAACTAGAAACAGTGGTAAGGATGGTCCAAGTATAAATATTTACGGTTTGCGATTATTATCATGATTTCCAGGCTGGTTGTATGAAAACAGGTTTGTTGGAAACACGATTGTTCTAATTTGCGTTTGGTGGTTCAAAATACCAGTTTCCTGCGCGTTGTTTCTAGATCTCAACTTGATCTCAACTTAATCCAATACAGTCTCCTTTCATTGACAGTCAACGATCAACTCACTGCTTTTGGCACCGATTTCTCCCGGATTCTGAAATCATTATTGTGAATAGTGGTAATTGATTTAATGCATTCAAATTGGTAGAAAAATCGGTTCTTTTGCAATGTATTCGTGAAATATACACCCTGAAACAGCTCAGTGCACAAAGGGTAACACCTCATTCTAATATCCTGTTACTGATGGGAAAATATATGCGAGGTTGCGTATCACCAACACAAAACCTTTTCCAATGGTAAAAGTTACTACAGTATAGTACGATGTCTGTTCAAGCTTTGGCTGCGTTTTATCATTAAAGAACGATTAAAATAAACTAAATTGAAATACGTGCTATAAACAGATGCCATGGTTTTGTATAACAAATTGAACTGGATGCACAATAATATCAAGTTCACTTTGGAACGTGAGACTAATGGCTCTTTATTATTTCCAGACCTACAACTGACAAGACTGAAGAACGGGACGCTTCTGACATCAATTAATCACAAGTATACATGGACGGGCCATTTTTGATATTTCCAAAGTGTTTGTCCTCTACGGTACAAAATTGGATTGGTAAGAACCTTGTTCTACACAGTTCGTCGCCTGTGGGATCCGAAGTTGATGACAGTGAACCTAGAGATTTGACGGATACCTTGTCCACTAACGGTTATCCCCTGCCTTTTACAGAGAAGTACTGTACCCCTACCACTCCCCGGCCAACGTACACTACGGTCGAAAAGAAACCAGTTTTCTTTGGTGTATCATTTAAAGGAGACAATGCAAATGCACCAGTTGGTCGTCGGCTTCGTACTACGGCTGCGGCGAAGCTGCTAATGATTTGCAGGACAGTGAACTCAGTAATTCGGTCAAACACAGACAGATCCAGTGATCCAGTCACCTCCAATTGCATTTACCTTTTTCAGTGTACTTGCGGTTCGCAGTCGGTCGGAAGGACTGAACTCGGGCTGTCGACCAGAATGAACGAGCATGTACGGAATAAGTTGCCAGTTCGAGGCGGAAAACTTCCAACAAGTGCAGTGGGACGACATTTGCTGGATACCGGACACTGCATTGACAAACGCAAAGCTTTCCGCTTTATACTCGAACTTCGAAGCCCAAGGATGCTTAGGTTTGCTGAAGCGGTTTTCATTAGCCGTTTAAAGCCTGACCTATGCGTGTAAAAGGCCTTTGTTATGCAGCTGTTATTACCATGGCAATTCCCCTTCCCCTTACTTCCCATCATCTCAGCCGTTCTCTTACATCATCGCTGACACTTCGCTCTTCTCAATTTTTATTAAGTAACTCTGTTTCATCCAATTAATTGACCAGTACTTCACTCCGTTAACTTTATACGTCTGTTCGAATTCCTTTCTAGTTGTATCGTCTTCCTATTACCTAACCACGTTCAACTCTCTTTCTACCACAGTGAATCGTTTTCCATTACGTAACCGTTTTTATGCTAACATTACCCTCCTCCTCTTTCACCCATACCCAAATGATTTCGGTAATGAATGATTCAACGACCCAGTGTTTTCTGCTGGAACCCATGTAATTATGTCAATGTCCCTATAA